GGGAAGATTTTATTTTCTCACAACGCTCGCCCCTACACTCGCCGAAACTGGTCTCGATACCGGTCTGGAAGTCACGGACGCCGATGTGGGGCGGGAGGAAGCCACAAGGGGAGTCGACGTTACCGACGCTGAGGTCGGTCGTGAAGCGTCACGTGGGGTGGATGGTGAGATGGAGGCTGAGGTGGGTCGCGAGTTCACGAGGGGAGGTAGTTTCTGCTGTTGTTGGTGGTGGTCGGGCTCTCCCTCCTGTTGCGGTGAGAGATGAGGAGTGTCGTTAGCGTCGTCGTGATCGGCCATGACCCGCTGTTTCTGGCTAGCGGTGTCGCTCTCGTCCTCGCTCAAGGGGCCCGTCATGGTGTTGACACGGGTCTGGGGACGGCCGCCGTTGGTTCTCAGGACCGGGATCCATGATTCTTGTTCCTGCTCTTCCTGCTGTTGTTGTTGCTGTTGCTGACTCTGCTGCTGTGCACCACCCGCAGTCGTCGCCCTCTGCGGTCTCTGACGCCCTCCCTCGCTTCCACTCCTCGCACTGCCCCTCCTGCCCCCCACCGCCGTCCTCGGTCTCTCCTTCTCACAATGCCTCTCCAAGACCCTCTCATAACTCTCACTAAACGCCGCAATGTTTCTCAAATACTCTAAATTGCGACACCGCTCCAACCCCCACTCCACACGGCGGTAGTTTGGAGCCTTATCTTCGATCCGTTGCATAATGTTTTGGTTTTCCCGCGCAATGTGCCGTTGTTCGGCAGCGCGTTTGGGACCGTGCAGAGAGTGCGGCGTGGAGTGAGCGGGGTGGGACTGAGCCGAGACCGGTGGAGGGTGTAACGTGGAGGGAGTGGTCATTTGGAAGGCGATCCGGTCGAGGAGGATGTGGTTGTTGCGTTCGATTTCGTACAGGCGCTCTAGAAAACAGAAACGAATAAGCAAATGGAAACCCCTCTTGCATATGCTACCTTCCTTTCTTCTAGCCCATCTTGTCTGTTCTTTGTTTTCTTTTCGTTTTTTCTCACCTTGCTCAACCTGCAAACGCTTCAACCGCACCTCCAAATGCGTCCACCGCTTAGGCGGGGCATTATCAACCGAACAGCTCACATTGCGCAACTTGGCCAAATGAATTTCGCGCGCCCGCTCTTCCCATTTCTTTGACAGGAGTTTGGAGGACGTCGGGTGGTAGGTTGGGAAATGGCGGTGCGACCACCGTTGTGGTGGAGGCGGTGTGGGATGTTGGTGCGTGTGCAGGTGCGTGTGCATGTGGGTTGTCATTGAAGAGAAGTTTGGGGGTTAGTTACGGTGTTTAGGTATCTGGAGATTTTTTTTGCGTTCGGTGGGGAGGGACGGGGATGAGATGGGGTGGGTACTGAGTCCTGCATGTTTTGTATTATTGCGAGCGCTCGCCCAAACTCCGCTCGATCGTTTGATTACGTGATCGCATGTATCCATCATGGGCCTGTCAATTCAGGGAGCCCCGATTTTGCGATGACTATCACTATCAGGCGCAAGGAACTATGCCTCTGTCCAAATCGTTTCGCCAGCAGTGCGAGACGGCCAAGTTGTGTCTGAAACATATTATACGTTGTAACTGTGATTCCGGAGCCGCCGCCAAAAGTGCCAACGTTGCATCTATAGCAGGAAATGAAACTGCACACAGAGTCATATTAAATCTTGAAAAAAAAACTCCAGGAATCAAGTCCGCGTTTCTATGACACACAACTTGTTTTTGGATTATGAAGACAGAAAATAAAAACCAGTCTTTGCACAGCACCTTTGGGCATGCAGATGCTTATGATTATCGAGGGAGAGGCGTCTGTAGATCTATCAAGACAGAGGCGAGGGCACTCTAAAACGCACACATAATCTGTGAACCGCTATATGGCTGTGGGCGGCCGCCACTGACTTCAGCGGGCGCACCTCATCCTATCCATCTTAGGTTTCGAGGCTCTTTTTTTCGAACCCCTTCGCTCTCACGCCGCCAATTCAAACAAACTCCGCACCCACTCTCCTCACCAAAGAAATACACAGCTTTGCCTGTGTCTCCGGTATTAGTAAGCCTTTCCAGTGCCTCGTCACGATTATTTCTGCTCAAGATAAGAATGAGCGGCAGTGTGATCGGGAAAGCTTACGCGCGCGCGCGTTGGCCCCAGCCACACACCACACACGCGCGTGCCGACAGATGGAATAGAACGCGTAGAAGCTTTTTGCTTGACTTGCAAGAGCTTCGTTGGAGAAGAAATGGAAGCTCATCCACCTCGCTTCCACGCAATGTCATCTGTTTGGTCATACAGCGACGCAACCCATGGAAGATGCCGGAGTTGGATATCTGGATGTCAGAAAGGATACATAAATAATGACTTGCAATGCACCGGCTTTTTTGCAGTTTCGGTTTTCGTTAAATAAACGGCAAATATACAGGAAAGAAGGCATAGAGGACGTTCCATTCCAAACTTGGGGTCTCTCGGCTAGATACTAGGAAAACCCAGATTGGATGTCAGAGGAGTGCACAGTTTCTTTCTCCTCCTGACAAAATCAGATACGATATTCGGGTCTAGCTTTCCGAAAACATCCTCCCCATCTTGGGTCATTCTATTCTACATCTGACAACGCTGCGAACACATACCGCGGGTCGGGGCTTTTGACGCAGGAGAACAACAACAACCGAGAGGGCAGAGCGAACAGCAAAACCCAGGACAACATCATCATCACAACCTTCACCATGTCTTCGTCCACTAACGACACGACGCCAACGGCGCCCACCAGTACGTCCCCGCTGACTCTCACCACCATGATTCTGATCGCGACGGGGAGCGCGGCTGTGACGATCATTGTGGTGCTGTTTCTCTGCTGGGCATGCACGTTCACGTCGTCGCGGCTACGGGCGAGACGAAAATTAACGCGGACGACAACGATTGGGAGTGACGGGTCCATGAATTATGATAATAACATTACGAATGTAAATACAGCGACAGTGTCGACCTTGTCGTCGGAATCGTCAACGGGTGGGATTACGGAGATGGAGCAGGTTGTGGTGGCGGAGACGGAGCGGTGGTATGATCCGGTTGGCGGGTGGCAGAACCACCATAAGAATAACCATGACAGCAATAACGGGAAGGACGGCGTTGAAGTCGGGACTGGATTGGGAGAAGCGGACGTGACGAATGAACCGGCGCCCATCATGACACTACCCCCAATTGCCGAGATCTATTCGACCCCACGACCCTCCCTCGACACCACCGCCGACGTTCCCGACACCCCCCTCTCCACACTCAGCGAAGCCACCATCCGCGCTCCCCGCCCACTGCGCTCCTCCCTTTTCTCCGAAGTCAATCAACCACAACCACACCAACACAACCACCATCGGCCCCTCTCGACCACATCCATGCTTTCCACGACCTCCTCCCAACAGCCTGACCGCCCCACCCGCCGGCACTCGCTCGCACCGTCCACTGCGACCGGGTCAAGTTCCATCTCGGCCCTTGTGGCAATGTACCAGACCACGTTGGCGACGACCCATGGAGAAAAGACGTCGTATATGAGTGCGAGTGCGATCTCGGCCCCGACGAATATTAGAGCGGTGCACCCGCACGACCCTGTGTTCTCGGATGAGGTCGAAGTGAGACCGGGGGATCAGATGTTGGTGGAACAGGTTTTCCCTGATGGTAGGTGTACATCCATGTGGATTTTCCCGGGTGGCCGACATTGGACTGATCATACATTCCGCTTTCCCTTTTTTTTTTCCTGCGTGTTCCAGCCTGGGCATATGGCTGGAACGTCCGCGTTGGCGGCCGAGGCATGTTTCCGCTGACCTGTTTGCCACCGACATCGCCGTAAAAGAAAAACCAAAAGAAAGCAACCCGCCCTCAATGTCCCATCAGCAAAGACAGAAAATTGCACAAAAGGAAACACGCCTCATGCCACCCCACTTTTGCCCATGTTCCTATCCCCTCCGTGTATTTGCATTTCTTACCACATCCCCACGTCCAATGTTTTTGTAATTTGGAATACTCAAACGTCACCTTCCCCCTGTTCCCTCCCCCTCCCCTCACCAATGTACTTTATGCTGGATGCTTATTGTGATGTATCTCGAAATACAGACTGTAAATTTTGATGTAACGGATTTTCTTGAGAAGGTGTTAGTTAACACTATAAGAGGTCTGGGTCCTAATGGACCCGATTCTAATCACACCGTAGTGGCGTTCCAGCACTTTACCAGATGTCTAGTTTTTGTTGACATGATTCGCAAAAAAGCACAGACTCTTGGAGATAGTCATCAGGTGGAACTGATTGCTGTAACGTGGCTAGAGAACTGGCGCACAGGAAGATGACGTTTGTTGAGCTGGTTATCAAAAGAATATTGACAATATCAAACAAACGGCTTCAACCTTTATTTAAACCATTTGTCCATTGGAAGTCAACTGCCATTCCTTTCCACTTACGTATCATGTGTTTCAAAGCAAAAGACTGAATGAATAACATATCGCCAGGCTGAAACGGCAGACGGATCTTCCATTCCTTCATAGCAGTCTCTTTGTCCGTGAGGTTTCCAAGACTGACCATAGCGCACCAGCCCAGATGAGATGAACTTCTGAACCGCTTTCTTGATGCTGTTCGTATGATCAGACTTCACAGATAGGCAAGATGCTTTCTCCTTGTGATAAGCTTGGCAGCAGCCAAGATTTATAACCCGTGACATTCGGGCTGCCCTTCAAAAGTGATGTGGCGGTTATCATCCTAAGCGGAAGGTTGCAGGATGCAAGTACAAACGCCAAAACCCCCCAAGTATTCCTCTGTAGTAGTTACGCCAAAAGGAAGTTTTACTACTGCTCCCAACAACGCGTTTCTACTTGCCACTCCCTCAAAAATGATCCAAATGACAAAAGGAAGACAGTTCCGAGTTCCCCAGAGTGTGTTCTACAATATGCCATGTCAGGGAATCCTGTATCTGTGCATGTGTAGAAGCTAATTTTTTAGCGGTCGCTTGCATATATGACACTTGCTTTTCAACAGCCCTCGTGGCGCAATCGGTCGCGCGTCCCCCTCCTAAGGGGAAGGTTGCAGGTTCAAGTCCTGCCGGGGGTGCTTCCTTTTTTTGGCCCAGCATTGGGGTTTTTTTTTGCTTTGAAAGACAGACAGCAGACAAAAGGCACGTTCGAAACGAGATACATTTCGTAAACGAGATACATTTCGTATACTACGCATTGTGTTGTACAGAATGGCTATGATAACGACTCCCTACTGACTATGTACTACTATCTTCTGCTAAACACACGCCTTGCAACCAAGCGCCATATCATATCAGCGCGTGGCAAAATTGACTGCAATACATTTCTCAACCCCGGGGCCATTGACTCGCGCAATGGCACGGCGCGCAACGGCCGTGCCATTGCGCGAGTCAATGAACGCGAGCTCCGTGAGGCCAAAGCAGAAGTGGACGTCCTTCTCGGATGTGGCTGGTCGCTTTAACGTCGGCTTCTTGGCAGTCGATGACGTGCCTTTGACCGGGGATCGCCCAGCGATCAGAGCTGCAAGGCCTGCACAACCGCGATCACGTCACGCAAGGGTGAAATGTACGGGGCGGCGGATGATGGGGAGGAGGCCGAGTCGCCGACGGACGTACTCACCGTGAGATCCGCAGCCAGGCTGCCAATCTCAGCAATAGCCAAGTCTATCTCCTTTTTCAGAAAATATGCGAGTTCTGCGCAGTCTCCGGTTTGGTCGGCGTGGTCGAGGGCGTCAAAGTACTCGCCCTTGCGGACGGCTGCAACGACGACGGGAGGGAGGTTTGCGCGAAGGAGCGGGATCGATGAGATGATGCGGCTGACCCGGCCGTTGCCGTCCGCGAAGGGGTGGATGCGGAGAAAAGCGAACTGCAGCCACGCGGCAGCGAGGAACGGATTGATGTTGCTATCGGCCAAAACTTTGCGAGCGGCATCAAAATACCTAGGCCAAATAATATGAGCACAGAGGCGTCGACAAAGAGATTGAAAGGCGGGATGGCACGTACCACTTCGTCTCGTCTGCCAGCGTCTTCCACGGACAAAAACGAGTTTCGAGTCCCTTGGCCTCGTGCGTGGTGAAGCACGGCACGCGGCGGTAGGTGCCGCGCGGAATAAGGAGCGCGTATCGACCCACCTCTTCGTCGTCTTCGTATGAGATGTTGTCATTCTTCAACAGTTTTCCGTGGATGGTTTGCACAAATTGATCATTGTATCGGTGTGAATCTTGAAGCACAGCCGTGAGGTCTGAGAGGCACGCGTCAGTAGTGCGCAGGATCTCTACGATCTTCTTAGGCTTTTTGATGCGGCTTGTTTGCGAGATGCCACAAATGAAATTTTCGAAAAGCCCGCGTTTGACGAGCAGAGACCAGGAGTCTCCATCGATCGAGAAGACGCCTTCGAGGACGTTGGTCTGAATGGCCGCATTACGCGCAAACTGATCAATCGCAACCTCGGCGGTCTTCGCAGTCTTCAGACTGCTCCAAAGGGCCAATGACTCGTCCACATTGAGCAAAGATGTGGAAAGGGGAACTTGTGCAAGCAGGGCCGGGCGCTTGTAGACCTTGACCTTTAGCTCGCTCTCGTAATCCTCTTCCTCTCCGCTGTCTTCGTCCACCAGGAGCTGCAGCTGTCCAACGGCAGTGTCAAAGGAGGGGTCAGTGCCGTGGGTAGTCGTCTGCTGAACCTGGCGGAGTAGCTGGAGTGCGCCGTGGGAGTCGTTCATAAGGTAGTGTGTCTCGGCAAGCAATGTCACTGCCAAAGGCCAGTCGGGTTGTTGGGCAACTAGGGGCTCCAAGCGATTGTACCGATGCGCAGCAAGCATTGATTGTGCGCTTACCCCGCGAACGTTTGGAGCAATGGCCGGCGTCACGAAAGTGCGTACGATGTCGTTCCATCGAGCCGACTCGGCTTCCGAGAGGGTTGCTGGCGGGTTGCTGGTCGCTAGGGGACCGCTCGGGTCGAGAAAGACAGGGGTTAGTGTCCAGCTCATTGAGAAAGTGCAGTGCGAGAGAAAGTGAGAAGAGGCGTATATGGGCTGCACAGGAGAGCAAAAGAACTAACAGAAAGGACGGAAATTGTTTTTGCAAGCGTGGCTTTTGATACCGACGTCCGCGCCCTTCCCCAACGGGATCCCCTCCCCAAATCCCCTCCACATAACAAACCCTAGACAAATGCGTTGATAACCTGCTTGTTCGCCTTGCTCTGTAGCTGTGGTTAGTGTGCCCTGAAAGCATTTAGAGACTGATCTTTAGAGAGTTCCTTATCAAAAGCCTTGTTTACACATTTAAGAATGAAGCTTGCAGCTGTGGAAGCGGAGAACGTCAAACTGAAGACGGGTTAGGCTTGCTGGGGGTGCTCTTATTTCATCAATACGACTTCTGGTCAGTGAATGGTGGCCATTTCATGGTCTTTTGACGGCGTTCTCTCTGCAGCGCCTGATGCTAGGCTTTACCAATGAAGCCGCCGCAAACCTCGAGTCCCCAGCAGACTCCCCGCCCTGAAGTCCAGTGCAGATCAAGCAGGAACCGTATGCCCCTCCAGTTTTTGACGACTTTGATCTAGAAGCCCACGACGGTCTGCTGTCCGGTGAGGCTCCCTCTTCGCCCTGCGCGGAGCTGGGCTCAAGCGACACTGAGTCCAGCCTGCCGCTGCCTTCTAGACGCCGCCAGCTGACCTTTGAGCAGCGTTCGAGATAGTTGGCATTGACAATGCAGGCAGCATGAAGCAAGAGGTTATTGCAAAAAAACAAGGGGTCAACCCGTCGACCGTCTGGCGCATTCTGGACCGCCAGCGAAAAATAGGCAGCCCTGGAAGAAGACCGGTCCTTGGTCAATGGGAATCACAGGTACATGCGGCTTTCTCTGTTCTTGGCCGCTGTGAACTTATTTATTTTGCAGGCTATGTTTTGCAGGAAGATGGAGCCAGGTCGCCACAAGCAAGGCAACGACGGGAAAAAAGAGAGCGACATTGTGTGCCTTGCAAACTGGCCTCCAAGCTCCCCGGATCAGAACATCATCAAGGACATATGGGACATCATAGACGGCGCCATCCGGAAGCGCAGCCCCTTGCCCACAGGGAAGGCCACTCTGATCGCTGCGGTGAAGGAAGAATGGGCGAAGATCCCGCTGAGCACAAGCAGGAAGCTGTATGCTTCTCGTGAGAAACGGTGTGCAGTTATTTGCCAGGCCGAGCGTGGTTCGTCCAGATTTTGACTGCGCCTCCGCGGGGACGAGATACATTTCGTATACTACGCATTGTGTTGCACTGAATGGCTATGATAATACCTCCCTACTGACTATGTACTACTATCTTCTGCTAAACACCATGCAACCAAGCGCCATATCATATCAGCGCGTGGCAAAATTGACTGCAATACGTTTCTCAACCCCGGTGCCATTGACTCGCGCAATGACCGTGAGCTCCGTGAGGCCAAAGTAGAAGTGGACGGTGATGCTGCGATCCCCAGTCAAAGGCACGTCATCGACTGCCAAGAAGCCGACGTCAAAGCGACCAGCCACGTCGGAGAAGGACGTCTCACTTTTGTATGCGGCGGCGGTGGCATAGACGCTGACGGTGACGCTCGTCTGGTACGTGTATACCGGGTAACATTTCGTGCTGTAGAAATCGTCCACCTGGACCACCTGGTTGGCAACAATTGCGGGCTGGAAGTATTCGACGTATTGCCGGTTTTCTTCCGCGTGGAGGAAAATGTCGCGTTGGTTTGGACGCTGTTCCCGACATATGAAGAGAAAGGTATCGAATGCGTAAAATGTCGGCAAGCTCTAGCGAACACGGCAAGTCGTAATGAAACACACCTGGGTCTTCCCGATCATGAATCCGCTCTCGGGTCGGCTGAGCAGCAGGCCATACGTGAAACGGGAGCATCTTCCCTGAATACTATCCGGATTGAGGCCGTGAACTGTGATGAATACCAAAATTAGGGTGTCAGAAATCGAACTTCACAAGGTTCCTGCCGAGGAGCTTGATCAAGATACTCACGCACGGCTCCCTGAACTGAGTGATGTGGTTGCCATCGGATGGAAGAACGGTCAAAAATTTGGTCGTCGTGTTAGATTCAACGGAGTTGTAGCGTACCAACTGCAGCTCCTAGCTCTCTAGGGAACACGAGGTTATCGAATGAACCCGAGAATCTTTCCTGGATGCGGCGAGTGAGATAGGGTGAAGCCTGGCGTCCAAGGAGAGACAGTTGCCGTCATGATTAGTTAGCAGTCACGGTCATATTATAAGTATCCATTCGTACCGAAAATCCACCAACAGCAAAGAGTTTGTTGCAACGGTTGCCGGGGCATCTGTCGAGCTGAGTTTGAATAAGGTCCAAAGTCTTGTCGACAATCGGATCAAAGAAGGACTTCATATCATCAAGCGTAATGTAAACGTCGTCATCAACACCATCTAGTAAAGTACATTCAGCGTGAAGCAGTTGTTAGCTTTACTCCAAACGCAAAGAGCGAAAGAGGGTCAGGATAGGGTACCTTGTGCGTCCTGCAGTTTTTGCATGCTCTCGTCGGACATGAGATTGTACAACGATCCAGGGATTGAGAACGGAATATATTGTTTGTCGCGGAAACTCTCTTCACCCTTGAACTGTCGCTTGGTACTCTCCCAGCTGGTCAAAACTGTGGGAAACAAAGACAGCATTAATGATGAATTTCAAAAACTCGCAAGGAAACGTTCCGGCCACAAACCTTGCATGAAATCTCGTCCTTTCTCTTCCTTCAACTGCGACAATGCGGTCTGGCCCACTTTGTTCCCAAGCCATTCTAAAAAGCGGTTGTCGACGAATATCGAGCCGCACCAGTCGCCGTCCCCGCGTGCGAGTTCAGTCAGACGCTGGTTGTTGATTCCCGCTGAATATCAGGAAGACGTATGAGACAAGACAGACTGAAAAGAATGCAACTGAATCATATGCACAACACTCACATGTCCATTTTTCAGCAACGATGTCGACCGTACCGCCGCCTGAAAGAACATCGGACAGACGGGAGGCTTAGTCACGCGTTTTCCCGATCGCTGACGTGAGCGCAAAACGCAACTGTTGCGCACCTGCATCAACAATCATAA